CGGGTGGCCCGGCTGGGCCCCACCATCCGGACTGTCCCTTGTTTGGGGACTGCAGAGCAAAGCCAAGGCTGCAGTCCCAGCACCAGCAGGCAGCAGGGGCAGGGGTCTGGCAGCACCGAGTCTGCCAGACAGCACCGCAGGCACCTCTCCTTTGCTGGGGAGAGGGAGGTGATAGCCAGACAGGGGAGGAAAAGGTCCCACAGCCCCTCACACCCCATGGGGGCCACGGAAAAGCCATGGGAGAGTAAAGGCCTCGTTGCACACTTGATACCACCTTTCTTGTCTCCCCAGTGCTGGGAGACGTGTGTGGGGCAGGAACTGTATCGCTTCGTGGTGATGGACTTCATATTCACCCTTCTGGACACACTCTTTGGGGAGCTGGTCTGGAGGTAATCTGCCCCAGGACGGGTCCCCCCAGCCGGCGTGGCATCCCCGGCATGGCCCCAGCTCTCCACTGCCCGGGCGGCACTGCCATGGTGCACCCAGGCTCTGCCGCCGTCTGAGGGGGGAGATGGGTTGCGGAGGCTCCCCCCCAGCAGCAGTGTGGGAGCAGAGCTCCGCTCCTTCCCAGGCTGATCTTGGAGAAGAGGCTGAAGAGGAAGCAGAGGCCCGAGTTTGACATCGCCCGAAACGTGCTGGAGCTGATCTACGGGCAGACCCTAACCTGGTGAGATGCCATCTTGCCTGGTGCGGCTCTGCTGGCGAACGCCTCGTGGTCCCCTGTGAGTCCCACAGCTGGCAGGGACCAGGCACGGGGAGCTGCATGTTTCACCGAGCGGGACTGTGGGAGACCCCCCCACCCCCACATGGGTGGGACGAGGGAGACGGGTGGCCTGGCAGTGCCAGCACAACCTACATGCTCACCTGGGAGGTCTGGCTTTGGCGACGGGGTGAGAGCCACGGGGGAATCAGCAGCAGAGCATCCCGGCACCAGCCCAGTGTCCCCCGCTCAGCTGGTCCCCTCCAGAGCTCTGGGAAAGGAGCAGGCTCCGGTGCACGCACAGCCCATCTCG